CCAGAACAAGCAGAAACCAATGCTGCCAACATCTTGATCTTGCTTTCAAGCCTTTAGAATCATAAACACGCCGGGGCTGGAGAGATGGCTCAGTGGTTAAGAGCACTGAAGGTCCTGAGTTCAACTCCCAGCAACCACATGGTGGCTCTCAACCATCTCTGGTGCTTATAATAAATAGAATCATAAACACATAAATTTCTGTTGTTTAAACCATCGAATTTAGTGCTCAGTCTGTAAAGCACTTGCTACACAAGGAGGAAGACCCACTTCAGTTCTGAATCCATGTAAAAAGCTGGGCCTGATGGTCTGCATATGTAATTCCAGTGCTGGGGACGAAAAGACTCCAGGATCCCTGGAGTTCACTAGCCAGCTAGCCAGCCCTGGTCCCAAAGAGTGATTCTGTCTCAAAAACAATGTGGATGGACACCTGAAAAACAATACCCGAGGCTGACCTCCGGCCTCCACATGCATGAACACACACATACATGAACAGAGATAAATAGAGCCCCACTTAATCTATAGTACTCATAGCAGCCCTAGCAAACTAATAGTGTCATTACATTTGTCAAAATGCACAAAATTCACACTAATAGTTCAATGTAATATAAACTGGAGATCTTCATTAGCAAATGTGTCAGTGCTAATATAGGAAGTGGGAAAGAGAAAGGGCCTATATGTAGACTCTGTATTTTCTGCTATATCTTTCCTTTTTCCTTTTTAATGTGTGTGCAAGTATGTGTGCGTATGTGCACGTGGGAGTGCATGCCATGGCACATGTGTAGAGGTCAGAGGAAAACTTTATGGAGCGAATTCTCTACTTTCACTTTGGAGTTGGTTCCAGGAATGAAACATAAGTTAACACACTTGTACAGCAAGTGCTTTTGCTGAACTCTCTCTCAGGCCCCTCTTTTGTTTGCTCAATTTTTAAAAACTTCAATGGATAGGTTAAAATAGCAACCTAGAGACAGGCGGGGAGGTAACCAGCTCTCCTGAATGCAGCACAGACGCAAGGAGATGAAAAATGTAAGAACTCAGGATAACAAAAACAATCTTGATAGTGTATTTTTTAAGCACAGTGGTTCTTAAAATGTGTTTACAGGTATTAATTTATCTTTCCTCAGAATAACCTTGTGAGGTGCTGACTCCTTCCTTTCTTCTCACAGAGAAGGAAACCGAGGTTAAAGAGCATGCCCAGGGCTCCATGCCTGTGAGAGGCAGCACTGGAACTGGAGTATAGGTGGTTGCATCTCTAGTTAGAGCTATTCACTACACTTCCTGGCTTACTAAGGTTAAAGAAGGAAGGAAGGAAGAAATGCACCTTGGGAACACCAACTTCAGCTATGGAATACGGGGTGGGGGTGGGGTGGGGTGGGGGGGCTGGCGGGTTGGGTTTGCTTGCCTTTGTTTTCCCCTTGAAAAAGAACTTATACAGGCACAGTCCTAAGCACCCATACTCCTGGCCACGGCAACACCTCTGCAGACACTCCAGTTTCCTAAGGTGTCACCTGCAAGACAGTTTCTGCCAGTCATCTGCAAAGGAAGCTAAAGGCTCCTGTGTCAGCAGCTCTTTTTTTTCCCCCAAGATGATGTTTAAATCAGGAAAAGCCATTGCCAAACACAGTATTTATGTCAGTGTCCAAGTTCTTGGTCCGAAAAATTGTTTTAAAGACATTAGAAAAGCATCAGCCCACGAACGAAAGGTCGAGTGTCAGAGCGGCAGCCAGGCCTGAGATAGGGACACTGTACCTGAAAGGTAGAGTGACGGTGTGGCCAAGTGATGTCTGCAGTCAGAAAGCTGAGCTGGAATCTGAGTTCAGCTCTTCTATCGTTTGCACAGTGCTAAATACAGCTAACAAAAACACGTCTCATGGAGTGACTGTGCCTGTAAACAGGGCATGGAGTGGTACTGTGCCCACTTTTAATTCCGGAGATTGAAGTCATCTATTTCTATTACAGGCGGGATGAGCACAGGAATGGTTCATTTCTTCCCTTGCACTGGAGGCCAGAGTGGTGTACTGGTTAAGGACACGGGCTCTGGGATTCATCTTCCTGCTGTCCACTTACTAGTTAACTCCTAATGCCTCATTTTAGATTCTTCATCTGTGAAATGGGGATGACAAGGGAAATATTACCCATCTCATAGTGTTACTATGAGATTAAATTAGTCACTGTATGAAAAACTGCACAGATCAGTGCCTGGAAGCTAGCATACAAAAAGTAAATGTTAGTCACTATGCTTCTCTTCACGGGTGATGTATTTTAGATTTCTAGTCTATAGAGAACAGCGAGTGTTTTCAGACACTGAGATGTTAGAGCTGCAAGGCCCTCAGGACACATTTCTAATCCAACCCTCTCGAAGACCAGAACTGGCTAAACAGCCTGACCAAGATTAAAATCTAGGCCTAATAATTCCAGTATAGTTCACACTCCCAAACTGCTGGGCTTGCGCTTCACAATGAAAACTGCTGGGGAAGGGTAGGAAAGGTCACTCAGTCCTTCCTCTCTGCAAACCGCCAAGGTATCTTCTACCAAGAGCTGGAGCTATTTAAACATCCTGGAAGAGAGAATATTCATCCAAAATCTTGGGAATTCCTGCCTCGGGTAGCACTTTTTTTCTCTTTTGAGGTGAGGTGAGTATCATATACTCCTATGTCCACAGAATCTATATGTAAGCAATATATAAATCAGTCTGTTTTACAATAGGATTATCAGTACTTGAGACATTGTAACCTAATAGGGCTCACTGTGCAGTTTATCACTTCCTTCATAGTGGAAATCTACACATCACTTTAGAAAAGCTTTTTCTCACCTTCCTAACTCAAGTAAATGGCAGCTCCCTTGTCCTCCTCAGCTTTTTTACTTCCTACTCTACATATACAGCATTATATGATAAAAGGTGAATTCTCCTATTAATCTGTCATGAATCTATCCTATTCTCACCCTCTTTCTGACTTGAATATACATCCAATAAAAGCAAGAATTTTGTCTGTTCTCTTTAATGCCATGTCTCTAGTACCCAAGCCAATGACCAAAATACGATTGGTGACCAAAAATCAATGCTAACATAGGTGACTGCGTTCAGGTCCACTAAACTTCCACTCAGTTGAATTGCCCAGCAAGGAATGCAAAAATAAGGAACATTAAAAACAAACAACCACTGGGCAGTGGTGGCACACTCCTTTAATCCCAGCACTCAGGAGACAGAAGCAGGTGAGTCTCTGAGTTGGAGGCCAGTGTGGTCTACAGAGCGAGTTCCAGGACAGCCAGGGCTACACAGAGAAACCCTATCTCGAAAAACCAAAGCCAAAACCAAACCAAACCAACAACAACAACAACAACAAATAAACAGGCTGGAGAGATGGCTCAATAGTTAAGAGAACTCGCTGCTCTTCCAGAGTTTGGTTCCCAGCACCCATGTCAGGCAGTTCACAAGAGCCTGTACCTCCAGCTCCTGGGGAGCTGACACCCTCTTCTGACCTACTTGGGCCACATATTTGCACATACACACATGCATACACACAAAAAATAAATCCTTTAAAATTAAAAACAGCATGATTGGGCCTGGAGACGGCTCAGCAGATAAGAATAATTGTGAAGACAAGTGGGTCTGAGTTCAAATCTTAACTAGTCATATAAAAATCTGGCATGGCAACTCATTTATGTAACTCCCAACATTGGGGATGGGATCCCAGGAGCTCACTGGCCAGTCCCTCCAGCTTAAATGGTGGTGAGCTCAGGTTCAATGAGACACCCTGTCTCATAAAGTGGAGTACAAGCAGCAGAGGAAAACACCCAGCATCCTCTTCTGGCCTAGTCAGGTGTGCCATGCACCAGCAAACACGTGGGCAGATACCACACTTAACACATACAGACATATACACCCCCCCACACACACCCCCAGCAGCAGCAGCAGAAGGAACCCATACAGTAAGGTCAATACACAAAAATACTCAAAGCAGGGTTAGGATCCATTTATAACTCACCCAGTTAGTCAATTTCAGCTTTCAAAAAAGAACTGATGAGAAGGTTTAAAAGTTTAAAAGATGTAGGTAATAACATGGAGTACGGTGTTCACACTTCCTAACCTTCATTCATAATCACTGATCCCTTGATCTAAAAAATCAGTTTCTTCCAACACACTAGCTGAGCTACACCAAAGACAACTGTTGGTGACCTAGCAGAAGACCTAGCCTTCATTTGGCTCTTTCTTCTGCATCTCCTGGGTAATCAGGAGCGGGGTCTTGGAAATGGTGAGGAACCTTCAGACCCAAGCGGTTATCTCTGAAACACAGGTCACCAGCGACCCTATTTCTTCGGGCGGAAAGGTGATGGTTCCTAAAGGCTTCCCAAACACTCAACACTACAAAGTTGGACTCTTTAAAACATCCCAATTTAAGAGCCATATCTTCCCAAACACAGGAATTAAGAGCGCCCTCAAGTACAACTTCCCTCTCTTAAATTCTCTCCCGACCTGGTACTCCCTACCCCGAGAAATCCCCCGGAGCAGTTGAGGACGATAAAAAGGAATCTGGTGTGGCCTAAGATACAGCGAGAGAAGAAAAGTGTTAGGACAAGAAGGGGACCCCGGGTCGGTAAAGATTACGATAAGAACGAGGTCTGACCCTTTCCAAGTCCAGTGCGTCCGTCTGAAGAAGTGATGAGGACCAGGAAACTGAAGCACAGCAAACAGGTGGCCCCGAAACGAAGCGACATCTCCACGGTGGTAGCTGCAGGGCCACCGGACTGAGGGAACACAGGCTTCCTAGCAGAGGGTCCGCTCCAGTCTCCAATCGCCGCTCAGCCCAACCCCTCCGGTTCCCAGATTTCTTTCCTTTTTTTTCTTTCCCCCCCACCAAACACTGAAGGAAGTGATGTTAGACGGATGTGGGCGGTGCCTCCGGGGTCCGCTTTGGAATGGAGTAAGTTTAAAGGTGCAGATCACGTAGAAGGATAGGGGAGTACATCTCGAGTTTGCTTTCCCTAAATCCTGTTTGTCCAAGCCTAGGAACACAGCCCGATAAGGTGGGCCGAGATGGTAGGGGCTGGGGAGAGGTTCGGGAAAACCGTTGTTAATTGCGTCTGAGCTCCAGCCTAGCCCCTCCCTCCCAGGGACCACTGCATTGAATTTATTCAAAATGCAAATTATCTGTGAATTCTGCGTCTCACGACTGAGGACCTGTCACCCGTTGGCTTGGAATTTCCCGTCCCCCTGTACAAATTAAAAAGACTAGACTATAGCATTTCATTGTTTGACTTCTGCTCGGCATTCCGAAGAGATCCAGTAAGCCCGTTTTGCTCTGCACGAGTCTGTGTCTTGCAGGCATGCACTTTGGAGAAGCTCTGGACCTTTCCTTCCCCGTGCATCCCGCACGTATTTCACTCGGGCATGATGCAATCAACTGACGCAACCTCCAAAAAAAAAAAAAATGCTTGGGGCTTCTTATTGCACAACTGACGAAGTGGACCGAGGGAACCGGGACATAAGTCACTACAATCACTTAAAGTGTAAAGCTTTTTTCCCGTTAAATCTGTTGGTTTGTCTTGGGTCAAGGATGTCTTTCCCTTCTACTACCTAACAAGTCAACCTTTCTCGACTTTCCCTCCTGGTGTTAGTAGAGTCTATCAGAGCTTAAGGCTCAGTGAACGACATCCACACAAAGTATACAACTCGGACTAAATCCCAGGCCGCCCTTCTGTTAGGTCCAAGACAAAAGGTAAGCGCAGACACAATGGGACGCCGAGGGGACCGCCACCTCCAGGATGCACCCGCCGCCAATCAGAATATTGGGGTTCGCGAGGCAGGCTGGGCTTTGTAGTTGGGAGGCGCGCGGCTGCCATGCCCCCCCCCACCCCCGCCTCCCGCGGGCGAGGCGGGGCCGTGCGTCACGTGGGCCGCTCCCGCCGCCGCCGCCGCGGTCTTTCTCTGTCTCCGCTGAGGCAGCCATCTTGCTCTTGCCGCGTGCTGGTGTTGGAGGACCCTCCCCGCTGCAGGTGAGACCCCCGGCGGGCCCGCCACCCCACGGCCTCCGGCCGCTGCGCACGGTCTCCCCCCGCCCTCCCCTTCCGACACCCGCCGTCCGCTCGGGCTGCCACTTCCGCCGTGGCGCGGCGAGTGGGGGCGGAGGCGGCCGGCCCGGCCTGTCGGTTACGGGCGGCGCAGCTGGGGGTCGGCACCTGAGGGAAGGTCCCCAGCACCACCGCCCGCTGTGGAGGAACGGGGCCCGGGCTCTGGCCTCGCAGATCCAGTCCCAGGAGGGTAGAACCCTCCACGTCCCGTCACTCATTATTCACAACAACAGTGTCAGACGCTTTGAGCTTTGTACAGCTTATCTGTTGTCATCTCATTGGCTCCTCCCAGTCTACGGATAGGGAAACTGAGGTTAGCACCCGGACCCCAACCTCTTGGGCCGGAACTAGGTTGCTGGCGCTCTTCACTTTTTAATGGCAGTGTTTGTTTACAAGTCTACCTTGGTTTTGAGACAGCCCATCCTTATAACCTCATCACATTGATGATTGATCGCCAGGGCACAGTGTTACACAGTTGGTGAATGGCGGTTTCAACTTCCGTTCCCACGTTCTTTCATTATACCATCAGTGGTCCTCTGGAAGAGTGGTAACAATAGTTACCAACTATTAAGTATCTTACATTAACTTGATAATCTAAGCTTTCATCCTTTAACTCAGTAAAGTGTGTGGTGGTATACTTCTCTTAATGCAGAGAAACAAGTGAGTTCAAAGAAGTTAAATACCTTTCCAAAGCCCTAAGTGGTAAAACCTTGGGTTTTCTGATTCCACAGCTTTTGCTACTATTAGAGACACCTCACATAAAAAGTTCGGGCTGAAAGTTCAAATTATTTTTATCTTGTGTAAACATGATGTATGTGAAAGTACCTGGGTGCTTAGAACTTGAGCATTCAATAAATATTGATTCATCTCATACTCTTTCGGAAGTCCTTGAGAAAAGTGCAAAAAAAGGATTCTTGGAGACTCAACTCAGTGATCATGTGGCCCTGGGAAGTCACTTCTCCCTCTGGGACACAGAAAGGAACTTTCCAGGCCTTCATTTTCTGTTAAACTAGGAAGAAGGCTGTTTTGTTTGTAATTTATGCCCTGCTGCACTAACAGGTATCTGAGATGACCTCACATATAAAACAAGAATGACAGGTACATTGAAGATATCAAGTAGAGAGTAAACCAGGTGATTGTTGGGGTCTCTGAGTCTAAATCTCTTTCCTAATTGAATCCTACACAGCCCAACAGCTGAGAGACAGCCCACATCTCTCCCTCCCCTGCTGCTTTAAGTTCCCAGGCTCCCTAAACTTTCCTTCTTTTTCCGAGGTACTCCTTAGGAATAAGAATTCTTAATTCTGTTATCCTGGCCACCTGGAATGGAATCATTCTTTCATCTATAACATAAGAAAGAATTTTGGTTTTGCTTCTGCTTCAAACAAGTCTGGATGCTTTGTCTTGTCTTTCCAACCTCCATCTCTCTTCTTTGGGATTGTTACTCAAAATGCGGAATAGTCCCAAAGGGCTTGTGCTGTGTTTAGTTCTAATATTTTCTCTTGACTTCCTTTTTGCGAGAAATTCCTTAAGTGCTTTGTTATTTCACTATACCTCCGTGGCTGTAATCCTTTGAGGAAAACGAACATTAGTTTTTTTTTGTGAATATCTGAATACAAGATTGAGGTTTATATCAGCAAGTTTAAGTCTGTGGCACAGCTAAGATTGGCACACATCTAAGACGATTTGGATTCTACACACAACTCCTCCCGTACAAGAGTTGTAGCTGCATGACCATCGTGATAGAATGTTGAACAAATTGAGAAGCCATAGGTTCTAATTTTTATTTGGGAAATGGATTCAGCCTTACAGCAATGATATATACAGGTCAGTTTCCTAAGTTTCAATGCCAGTTCAGAATGGTTAGTAATTTACATGATCTTTGGTTCTCCCCCCCCCCCCCCCCCCCCCCCCGCCCCCAAATGTGAAAAACTGTATCCTTCTCATCTGAATGATGCAATTACAAGGTTAGAGAATTAGAAAAAAAAAGTTTAATAATAACCTAGTCCCTTACTTCCTCCTTCACATCTCAGTAATGATCTGGTGAGCCACAGAACAAGTCAAACAAGAATGTTGGAATTAGCTTTTATTTGTTTCTAGATCGAGGAATGTTGTTCTCCTTACCAAGAGTGTCACTGACCAGACTAGAATTCATGATTTTATAATGTCCTTAGAATCTTCAAAAGCCAAGATTTGCTATAAAAGCTTGTTTTTTTCTCCCCCGCACCAACTTAATGTTAATGTAGCCAAGATACATCTTTGTCAAATTGTGCAGTGAAACATTTTACCCTCTATGCAGCAATATCTTGTTAAGTGTGACGTATTCTATCAGTGCAAGGTCTAGAATGAACTCGGGTGCTGCTGAATCAGGGAGTGTTTGGAAATCTGGTAGTTTCCCATTATTAACACATCTGACCTTGAATAGAGGACGTGACTCGCTTGTATTTTGACAGCCTGACAGCTTATTGTTCCATTTCTTCTTTACCTAGCCTTTTTTCCTTTGTGTCATATTTATCCTTTATAAGAAATACAGAATGTGATTCCAGAGAAAACAATCTACTTGAAGGTTTTGCTAATAACATTTGGTAATTGTTCTCTGCTTTGAAAGTCTTTGGAAGAAAAAGCCTGCTTGCCTACAGGGATTTCATAATTGGTTAGGTTTTTCTGAATGCCAGAGAACTGAGTCATGTTTTAAAAAAGGATCTTTAAATAGGCAACTTTGAATCCCATTCATTTGCTGTTTGTATATTTGACTCCCATGTGATATTTAATTTTTTTTAAAAAATTGATTCGTGAAGCTAGAACAGGTTATCACTATTACGAATATAGACAGTATTGATAAGATCTTGACGGTAATGCTCAGTGAAGCAAAAGGTATTGTTTGTATAAATAAGTTTTTAACTTTGATAAAACAGTCAATTTAACAAATCTATTTTCCCCCCTAGATTTACCAACAGCATGAATCAAGAAAAGTTAGCCAAACTTCAAGCTCAGGTCCGGATAGGGGGCAAGGTGAGTGTGTAAGACAAACTGGTAGGAGCACGTATGATTGTAAGATAGTATTACTACTTTGTATTTGTGGTCGTTGAGTCCAAAATCTCTTCAATGATTAAAATCAGACCACATTCCTATTTGATAATAATTTGTCTAGATCTAAAACAGGTAATTAGAAGACTTTCTCTCTGATGGCAATGAAAATAGACACCTTTGTAGGTGAGGCCTAGTTCTAGTATTGTTTGCAGCCTGTCATGGCTGAACTAATGTTAAGTTAGGCCTCTTCATACACATATGTGCATGTGCATACATGCATGCCTGCAAATGTGTACCACACACATGGAAATCCGAGGACAACTTGCAGGAGTCAGTTCCCTCCTACCACGTGGGTTCTGGAGATTGACTAAGGTTATTAGGTTTGGTCATAAACACTTTAAGCTACTGAGCCATCCTACCAGCCCCACTGTATTTTTTGAGATAATGGTTTCTCACTAAACCTGAAGCTTGCTGATTCAGCTAGACTGGCTGGCCAGTGAGCCTCCAGAATCTCCCTGTTTCTACCTTCCAGGAGTTACACTGGCCATCCCCAGTTTTTATTTTGGTTGTCCATACTCAGTTCCTTATATTTGACACAAGCACTTGACCAACTGAGTCATATCCCCAGCCCCATAATTATGTATTTTTAATGTAGTGGCTGGTACATGCATTAATTTATCTACTGTTAACTTAATTTGTAACAGGCATAGTAAATAAACAAGATTTCTTGCTTTTGACATTGACATAGCTCAGCATGGAAGAAAGTCATGCTCACAATTTCAATGAAGAACAAGTATTGTAATGAAGAACAAAGTATTTTACCTAGGAGAGTCATGCTGGGATTTAAAAGATAAATAAGAATTTATCACTAGACCAGCAGGTGGAAGGGTTAGTGGGGGGTAGGCTAAAATGGGGATTGCTATTTGCATATGTGCAAAGCCCCACAGGGTGCTGAGAAAATATGGACCTTAATAATGGCTGGCTTTAGTTTGGGACAGCTAGTTTAGAGTATACAATGGATAGAAAATGGTAGGGATGGGATGACCAAGTAGTTTGGGCTCCATCATACTTTTTATATACTATTCTAAGGAGCTTAGGATTTTATCCATCCACAGTGGACAACTATTAAAGGCTTTTAAGAAGGCAATGGCCAGGTGTGATGGCCCAGGCTTTTAATTCCAGCACCTGGGAGGCAAAGCCTGATGGATCTCTGTGAGTTCAAGACCAGCCTGGTCTACATAGCCAGAACCATATAGTGAGATCCTGTCTTGAAAGTACAACAAAAAGGTAGGGTGGTGGTGGTGGTGGCGGTGGCAGCGGCCCAGCGCATGCCTTTAATCCCAGCCCTTGGGAGGCAGAGGGAGGCAAATCTCTGTGAGTTCAAGGCCAACCTGGTCTACAGAGCCAGTTCCAGGACAGCCAGGGCTATGCAGAGAAACCCTGTCTTGAAAAAACAAAACACAACAAAAAAGGAGGAAATGATAGCTGTTTTAGAACTGGTGGCAGTGTGGAAAATGGGATCAAATGGAGAACAGTCTGGAGCTATTGTACAACATGGGACACAAATTTAGAGGTTGGGTTGACATGATTTAATGACAGATGGGATGTGGGGAGATAAAGGGCAGAGAGAAGAATTGAGGGTGTTCCCCAGGCTTTGATTTTAGAATGTGGGTCTGTGGTTTTTACCAGCTATAAAATCTAGGAGATGAAGGAACATTAGTGGACTGATAAGTCTGTAGACATGTTGCATTTTTTGTTTTTGTTTTTTGAGACAGAGTCTCACTCTGAAGTCCAGGTTGCCCAGGAATTTCGTATGTTGATTAGACTGGCCTTAAACTTTTAAGCAATCCTCCTGTCTCTCTTTTTGAATGCTGGGATTATAGGTGTGTACAAACTACTTACATAGTAGCTTAGTCGAAGTACCTGAAGACCTTTCAGTAGAGTAGCTCTGACTAATGGCACACTGTAATCACAGCACAGGGGAGGCTGAAGCAGGATTGCCTCACTAGATAGCAAGACCCTGTCTCAAAACAAAAATACAGAGCAAGCAACTAAACTATTCCTGAATTAGGAATACTTCGAAGATAAATGACCATCTATGTAAAGGGTTCTGTTAGCAACTGGATGTCATCATAACCTTTGCAACCAGAGCTTTTTTTTCCCACTGGGATTGTGAAACAAACCACAGCCTTTCTTCTGTAAGGCTGAGTTCCTGAGGACTACTGCAGGGGCTACTAAGAGACTAAACATCCCATTTGTCTATCACTCCTTATTTCAGAAAGAGCTTACCTCAGAACTTATGCTTTTGGTAGTGTTTCAGCTCTGATATTGGTTACATTTTTTTAAAAATTGGCCCAGAAATTTAACCTATTATTTAAATAGTTTTTAATGGAAAAAATATATTTATTCTTTTTTAAATTTTATTTGTGTATATGTGTCTCTGTGTCTGCCGATGTCATCAGGAGCCAGGAGAGGGAATTGGATCTCCTGAAGCTAGAGTTACAGGCAGTTATGAGTTGCCTGACATGGGTGCTAGGATTTGAACTACCATCCTCTAGAAGAGTAACAAGTGCACTTAACCACCAAGCCATATCTCCACCCCTGTATTTCTAATTATCAATAGAGAAATAAACCTTTTCTAAGACTTATCATCATATCCCACATCTAAACCATCAGAAGTCACTTTGTCTCTTGTGACAGTCTGACCTGTGGCCATCTCTCATCTCTCACCACACTTGTGCACCAGCCCCCTGACTGGTCTCATAGCTTCTAGGTCCAGTTTCCTGTAGCAACCTTAAATGAGAATAAACAGGTCAGATGAGGTCTCTGGTAATAGCTTCCTATTGCAATTAGAATAAAGTCGAGCACCTGCCCATGAGATTCTAATCGACATGGTGTGGCCCTTGTGTGTCTGTCTGACTCATTTACCTCTTCCTTCTTCCTTGTTCACTCTGCTCCAGCCACACTGGCTCCCTCTCTGTCTAGAAGACAAGTTCAGTCTTGTTTCATTCTGCTTGGATCACTCCTGCCTGGTCATGGGTCTCATTTCTAGTACAATTGTGCTTTGCTCTTTAACCATTCTAGTTTTGTTTTGTTATACCCTTACCCTGTTGGAAGTGATCTAATTGGTTTAAGTACTTACTGACACTTCCCTTTTATTGCAATATAAGAATTTAAGTAAAATCTTGTCGTCCCCCTCCCCCATTCCTGGATTCTCTGACTCTGGAGTACTCACATGGTAGGGATTTAATTCTCAATATATAATAGTTCCTAAGATTTGGGATCATATTTAGACTTTATTGGCAGGGGCTGACAGGAATTCTGTGAAAGCATAAAATGTTTATAAAGCACACTGGATGGTCTTCAGAGTTATAAATTGTGTTCTACTAACAAGTAATATTTAGAAACATAATGTATTGAAATGATGAAATAACAGCTGACTACAAGTGCCCTTCAGGTGTTGGCGGAAATATCACAGCTCCATGGTCTCGTTTATCACTACTGTTCGGTTAGTTTTTCCAATGTGGATTTTAGATTGTGACCAGGAGGATGTGATTCTGTTGCCAGTTGCTATGTATATTGACACCTCTGTCTGATTATTTTCCAGGGTACAGCTCGCAGAAAGAAGAAGGTGGTACATAGGACAGCTACTGCTGATGACAAAAAGCTTCAGAGTTCTCTAAAGAAACTGGCTGTGAACAATATAGCTGGTATTGAAGAGGTATGAATGCTTCGAAAGCCCAAATTATAGGAAATAAAATGGCACATGCACAGTTCTTTTGACCTTTCAAATTAAAATGCTAGCTTAGAAGAATCTTTAATATTTCATGCACATATCTTTGAAAAAACGTAGTTGTTAAATTTGCTTTGGGGATAAAATGATTTCAGTAGGCAGTTAGGGATTTTCTTCAGACTTTTCAGACTTAAGGTATTTGCATGTATGACAATTATGAAACTGCTCTTGAACTTTAATGTAAAAAAAGGTTTCTTTTTCTGTTTTGTTTTATTTTTTTTCTGTGGGTCACTGCATCCTGGGACTGGCCTCTAACTTGTGATCTTGCCTCCTTTATTGGCGTTTAAAAGTATGTGCCCCGATGCCAAGCAAGTTATTTTTTTCTAATGATGTAGAAGTAAAACCCAATATTTTTTCAAATGAGACTTTTGCTTGTGCCCTAAATTCACTTTTCTGTACTACAAAGTCTCTATTACATCATCCAGAAACTTCTACTAGCAGTAGCTTTATACGGATTTGATTCCCTCCCTTTCTTTCTTCATTTTTACTTTTATTATTTACTTATTTTGGTATATTCCATACAGGCTTTATCTGTGTAGTCCTGGCTGTCCTGGGACTCACTACTAGACCAGACTGGCCTTGAACTCAGAAATTCTGCTTCTGCCTCCCAAGTGCTGGGATTAAGGGTGTGTGCTGCTATACCTGGCTTATTTTTATTTATTTAATGATTTATTTATTTGCATTGGTGCATCTGTGTAAGGATGTTGGATCCCCTGGAACTAGAATTACAGATAGTTGTGAGCTGCCATGTGGGTGCTAGGAATTGAACTCAGGTCCTCTGGAAGAGCAGCCAGTGCTCTCAACCACTGAGTCATCTCTCCAGCCCTTAGTTTTATTTTTTTTTTCACAGCTTTTTTTTTTTTTAATTTATTTATTTATTATGTATACAGTATTCTGCTTGCATATATCCCTTCAGGCCAGAAGAGGGCACCAGATTTCATTACAGATGGTTGTGAGCCACCATGTGGTTGCTGGGAATTGAACTCAGGACCTCTGGAAGAACAGCCAGTGCTCTTAACCTCTGAGCCATCTCTCCAGCCCAGTTTTATTTTTTTAAAGTATTCTCTCACTGGTTAGCTGATTATACTCAGCTGATTGGATTTATTAGGGATCTTTCAAAAATGGTAACTTCTAAAAGTCTAGTATATTAATTATTTTTTCACTGCTATGATAAACTACTTGACAGAAGCATCTTGAGGGATCTGGGAGCATCTTGGCTCCCAGTCTGAGCGTGTTGTTTATCCTGATGGTGAAGGTCTGACAGGAACGTGAGGGAGCTGGGATCCAGCTGGGAAACAGAGAGAAGTGAAGTGTTGTCCTGCTTGCTTTCTTTGTTTTTGAGACAGGGTTTCACTGTGTAGCCCTGGCTGGCCTGGAACTCACTATGTAGGCCAGGCTGGTTTTGAACTCAGAGATTTCTCTGTCTCTGCCTCCCAAGTGCTGGAATTAAAGGCATGTGCCACTCCACCTGGCTATCACTGAGTCACTGAGGTCCATTCTTTCTCTCTCTTTTCTTTTCTTTCTGTTTTTTTGTTTTGTTGTTTTGTTTTTTTGAGATAGGGTTTCTCTGTAGCTTTGGAGCCTGTCCTGGAACTCACTTTGCAGACCAGGTTGGCCTCGAACTCACAGAGACCCACCTGTCTCTGCCTCTGGGTGATGGATTAAAGGCGTGTGCCACCACTGCCCAGTACACTGAGGTTCTTAATGGATAAATACTGATAATATAAGAAGAATCCCAGAGAAAAGACATGAAATGGCAGAGTGCTTCACCATGCATACACATGCAAATGAGCAAAATTAACCTCCTTTAAATCTACTTTCACAATCAGTACTGATAAAATCATAGAAAATATAAGACATGCATTTTTTTTCTCCTTTCAGCTTGAGGTGACAGAATTCTTACTTAGGTAAAGATTAGGCTGTGATTTGCATGTCTAATTTCAATTTTTTTCTGAGCTGTTGAAAGGTTTTATATATTGTCTTTTTAAATATTTATTTATTCATGGTGGGGGCTGGTGTTGTGTGGAGATCAAAGGAACATTTTTGAAAGTTGGTTATCATCTACTGTGTGGGACCCAGGAGTCTTACTCAGACCATCACATAAGGCTTAGCAGCAAGCACCTTTACCTGCTTAGCCATCTCACTGGCCCCCAAAGCTTTTATATATCTGCACTGAACTAAAATTTCAGACAGACCAAGTCTGGTGACACGCTTCTTTAATCTCAGCACTGGGTGGGGTTGGGGAGGGCAGAGACAAACAGATCCCTGAGTTTGGAAGCCCACCTGGTCTACAGAGCAAGTATCAGGATAGCCAGGACTATACAGAGAAGCCCTGTCTCAGAAAAAAAGAAAAAAAAATTCAGACAGATATTCTCAATCATGGATATATTAGAGAACAAAGATACCCCCAAAGCTAAGTTCCTTTAGACTTCTCTTTGAGGATATATCTCAATGATAAAGTACTTGCCAGCATGCCTGAGTCCTTGGGTTTAATCCTAACAACACCAAAAATAAATTCATAAGATCCAAAACTTAGTAGTAAGTTATAGCAGACACAAACTATAATAATACCAAACCTAACATAATTGAAAATGTTTACATAATTTATAGCTCTACTACTTTTCTCCAACCCATTCATACATCTAATCTCATCCCTATTGATAATTTGGAGCAGATAATTCTTTGTTGTCAGTTCTCTTGTGCTTCTTGGGATGTTTAATGGCGTCCCTGGCCTCTGCCCACTAATCACTTATAACACCCCACCACCACCTCATTGGTAACAGTCAAAACTGTCTGAGCTGGCTGTCTTGGTCCACTCCTGTACTCCCAGCACTTGGGCGTTTGCACTCCTGTAGGCAGTTTTCTCCTGTGTCTTGGCAGCTGCTCCCAAATAACCATTCAGAGATTCATTATTAATCATAAATGCTTGGCTGATAGCTTAGGCTCATCTCCAGCTAGCTCTTACAACTTAAATTAACCCATTTCTATTCATCTATGTGCTGCTCTGTGGCTCATGGTTTGTTACCTCATTTTGTACACATCCTGTTCCCTTTGTGGTTGGTGACTCCTCAGACTCAGCCCTTCTTCCCAGCATTCTCTCTGCCCTGAAAATCCTGCCTGGCTATTGGCCAATCAGCTTTTCATTAACAATGAGAGTGTTTTCACAGTGTACAGAAGGATTATTCCACAGCACACCCCAGTACAAGTTCAGGCCAGCTTTGACTATATAATACAGAAAGACCCTGTCTCAAAAACAGCCAGTGCCACAATAAAAAAATTCTTTCTAAATATTGTCAGATGGTCCTTTGGAAGAAAGAAAAGTCACCCTTGGTTGAGAAACATTTATATAGAGAGATTAAAAAGTATATTTCCTTTGTAGTATAGATTAATTTGTATTTTGTTTTTTGAGACAGGGGCTCATTATGTAGCCCAGGCTAGCCTTAAGCTTTCAATAATCCTACCTCAGCCTTCTGAGAGCTGGGATTATAAGTGTAGACCATCACACCCCGTTTTGTGGTGTTGACTTTATCTATGTAGTATTTCCACGAATATGTATTTATAAATGCTTGTTTTTGTTCAAATTTAGAAGGTTTTATGGCTATTTGTCTTGCCTCAGTTCAAGAGTGCTGTGTGTGTAGTATGTGTACATATATGTGGAGGTTCATGCTTGTATGCATGTGTCTCAGTTAGGGTTTCTATTGCTGTGATGAAACACCATGACCAAAAACAAGTTGAGGAGGAGAGGGTTTATTCAGCTTACACTTCCACATTGCTGTTCGTCACTGAAGAAAGTCAGGACAGGAACTCATGGCAGGATTCTAGAAGCAGGAGCTGATGCAGAGGCCATGGAGGAGTGCTGCTTACTGGCTTGCTCCTCGTGGCTTGCTCAGCCTGCTTTCTTCTAGAACCCAGGACCACCAGCCCACGGATGGCACCACCTACAATGAGCTGAACCCTCCCTCATTGATCACTAATTGAGAAAATGTCTTACAGTTGGATCTCATGAAGGCATTTCCTCAACTGAGGCTCTTTCCTCTCTGATGACTCTAGCTTGTGTCAAGGTGACACACAGAACCACCAGTATGGCATGCTTCATGGAAGCCATCCTCCTGTATCATTCTCCACCTTACTCCTTTGAGACAGCATATCTTAATGAACCTGGAGCTAGCCTGGCAGCCAGCAAACCCTAGCAATCCTCCTGTCTCCCTCTTTTCTCCAAGTGTTAGGGTTACAGTCACGGGGGAGTCACTCCCAGCTTTTTATATGGGTTTTGGGGATTTGAACTCAGGTCTTTATGCTTGCATAGCAAGTAGTCTTACTTACCTAAATATCTTTTCCAGCTCCTGTGGCCCTTCAAATTACAGTTTTTAAAAATAATTGCTTCATAGTGAAATAACACAGTAATTTTTTTCGAGGTATTGGAAATTCAACCCAGGGCTAGGCAAGCACTCTATTACTGAGCTGTATCTTCAGCCCTAGTTAGTAACCGTGTATCTCTTCAAAAGACTATCAAACTGTGCTGAGGTCATAGGTCTGTTGTAACTGAAATTGTCACACTAAAGGGCTTATTGATAGTCAACACTTAACTGCATATCTACTATATACCAACCATTTTGTCAAAGGTGATGCAGAAAGTATTTTCCATAGCCTCTGTCATTTCTAACTTACAATCTTGTGGGAAGCTATTAGACAGCTAGCCATATAAATATGTATTACTCCATTTCAGCTTCATAGCATCCGATGAGTTATTAGTTACAAATGAAAAGGGTAATGCTTGCAGAGTTTCACCAGCCTGTGGTGTCACAGATAATAAGGACTGGAATTCTAGATTTGAACTAAGAAGTGTTAAAAACCAAAGTTGATGCTATGCTAAGTTAGCTCCCTTGTGATCTTTTCAGTTGTACTTTCTTATTTTCAGCCTTTTCCTG